ATTAATGTTTGATTAATGATAATACGTGCATGCTGCTCTATTAATAAATGCTAGTATATAGACTGTTGACTAACATTAACAGAATCTTGCAGTGATAATTACAGATGAATCATGAACTTAAATCCTGGCTGTCTCAGAGCCTGGTCAGTCCATTTTCTGTCAGTCATAAATTTCAGGCCCATGCTCATATATCAACTAACTCATTTGAATGGTCCTTCACTGTATCATTCAGCAACTGTTGACTGTATGCATCAATCATGAAGGTAAGAAGCTTTAGCTAGAGTTGTAGCGAAAGATATTTTTCAGTTTTGAAAGAAAGTCAGTGGCAAGGTACCTAACGTTGGAACAATCTTCCTGTTTAACCTTTTATGCCAAAAACCTTGGTGTAAGAGATGGTTGCCCTTTAGGACTCGGAAACAACACTCAGACTGCCTGTCATTACAAGCAGTTTGAACCTCAAGTGTTAAGTAGCTGTGAAATACTACTAATCTCAGGCCAAATGCTATAAACCAAGACTCAGTTGTACTCTAGCTTACTTACTGAAACTCCTTGTTTTGCAAGTGTTTATTTAAATGAAGAACAGTGAACATATTTATTCAAACATATTGCAGTTTGCTGCAGTCAGTTTGTAAACAGAGGTAAAACCAAACAATTTCAGCCTTGTGTTTGCATGTTTGAAAAGATAACCATAGGCTTTAACTTGCAAAACAGAAGTTCAAATACCATCATATAATTGAAGACCCTCCTGCTTGCTGTGCGTTGATTTTCACTTCTACCAGTTTTTGAAAGGTTCCTTTAAATAAATACCCAACCCTAAAACTGTACAAAAGGAAAGGTGCAGCTTCCTCAATTTACAGCTAGAAAAGACAATGAATGCAATTTTCATATAGGGTCTGTAAATTATAGCTCCTGATGGAATCAGGTTAACTATCAGAGAGTTAAAAGTAGGTACTTTTTGGCATTCATGCTTAACTGATAATTTTATGGCAAGGAAGTTCGGCAAGTAGCAGATGAAGGAGAGATATTCTGCCTTCCTAAAGACAAGGGGGCTGTGGAGGGAAGGGTAGCACACATACATACTTTGGACCTGATGCTGCTTTCACTCCATCTCAATCTCTCTGATGTGAGATCCAGCCTGCTTATAGACATGAACAAAACAGAGCCTCATTTACTTTTTTGACAGGGTATTTTGGCTTTGGTTTTGTTTTCAAATACCAAGACAGCATCTTTCCTTCTGATACAAAGGATGTTGTCCACATTGTATGGCTCAAGGAGACAGCATCAAAAACCAAAAAAGCCCTCAAATGGCTGTTCAGTGTTTCCATATTGACTCATTTCTTCACCGTGCTTTATCATACAGTTCCAGATGGAGGTGAAGTAAATCCATAATGTTAGATTCAAATCCAAAAACCAATATAACGCCACAATAGATGCATGAGGTTTATCCCCCCCCCCAAACCAGTATGTATTTTGATGAGGGCAACATATCAGCCTTTGAGATGGCAGTCTGTGAACCTCCATGAAAGACATTTAGATTGACCGGCTCATCTAGACCTGTAAGAGTGAGGCACGATGTCATTTAAGCACAATGTCATTTAAGCACATGTGTTTCTATTTTGGAGTAAGATTGTTTTTACTTTTCCAGTTTAAGCTGGAAAAAATAAAACCAACTTTGGTAAAATCTTAAATTTGCAGTAGGTTTAAAAATAAAAATGAAAACCATCTGAATCCCACATCAGATGTTTGCAAAACCACTGAAACTAGTTGAGGAGCTTGTCTTTTGACTTCAAATACATGGAAAGATGTTTGATGTTCTATAGACTCATAAAAAAGACCATATTTCTTTTCTGCTATGTCTTGATGAGATCAAGAGCATCATTTGCAACCCTGTGAATGTGAGAAGAGCTTCTAGTGCCTACTACTAGCTCAAATACTGCTTTTCCAGTTTCACAGTGATGTGAACTTGTGAAGTTAAGGAAAGAAAAGCTGCGGTTGTGTTTAGAGGAGCCTTTGTTTCCCTGATTGTGCTCTTGAAGTTATCTCATTCTCCAAGAAAATTCATCAGCTCTGGCCAGTATTAATCATTTAACATCTTCTCTTCTGGAACATGCATACATATAAAAATCACAGGTTTGCTGCACAGTTCCATTATGTGCCCATTGGCTGACAATTTGCTTACAGTCTGCTCTTGCCGAGTTCAAGCTCTTTTGGTCAGTGAAAGATGGTTTTACTTTCCTGAGGTCAACACAGAACACATAATCTGTCAAGCAGCTATTCTTAAAACCCACGAGAGTGACTATGAAGGTTAAACAAACACTCCGCATAATAGGTGGCTTTTCTGTTTGCATCCCCTTCAGTTCCCTAAACATAATGCAAGCTGGATGCAATTCTTTATTTCAGTTAATATGCTCCACTTCCTATTAGATGCTGTTCTATCAAACCAAAACTGCCCTTGTCAATTTTGCTGTTTTGTGAAACAGATCCTCGTACAAAATCTGTCTCCTAGGTTCTATATCTCTCCTGTCGCGGCTACAGACTGCACTGATGTGTGCAGCCTTGTCAAGAGCCTGACATGTGAATCAGGTAATAAAGAGTAAAATCAAGACTGTCTACTTTTCAGCTGAAAATCTCAGAGCAGACATGTTGGGCTTTATTCTCCATGTGCAGAAAACCAATTCTGACAGTTGCTAATCATTTATAGTGTTCAAAGGAAAGAACCAAGTCTTACACTGCTTGCCCACTGTGAGCAACAGTAGGTGTGACAAAAGAGTGTCTTTTCACCCCATTGAATGAAGTATATTGTCATATACTCATTACAAAAAGCACCCACACTGGGGGAAATAGTCTTGGCTTTCCTCGTGAACTCTGTCAGAAACATGGCAAATTTGAAGACTGATGAAGCAAGTTTCTTAATATACTTCCAGTCAGTCTCTTTAATGATCCCATTTCCTCCAAGTTTATAAAACAGTTGACTGGGGGGAAAAAACCCTAATTCACTAACAACTTTGTCATGAATTAGATGTCTGAATTGAGCTGAGGTTAAACGGCAAACTGATTTTCAGCTAACTGCTTCTTGTTTAGATGCTTCTGAGTGCATGGCTGCAAATCTGCTTGCTCATACTGCTGTTTCCTAGGCTGGAGTGACTATTAAATTTTGTAATTAGTGGAATGTAATTATTTCCTGTAATGAGCTGTAAATTCACATGATGCCATAAATCATTCTTATGTACGCTTAAGGATTCATTACTCTTCTTAGCAACTGACTAGCATATTTACTAAGCACAGAAGTGTTCAACTGGAGTACTCTGTAGGTTACTGGGAAAGTATTAGATGTTCCCAGATGGAATCTCTTTGGTGGGGGGAAGTGGTTTGCAGTAGGAAAAGTGTGGTTCTACCACTGTGGTAAGAAATAAGACTTGAGAACATGATTCAGCAAGGTTTGCGTATCAGTTCCATTGGGATCATTTACTGTTCTCATTAAGGCTCTTAAACGCTGTCTTAAATCATCTTCTGAAATAAGAGTCAAGGGCTGTTATGGCTAAAGCAGATCTGTCAGCAAGGAGAGCCGCTTTCTCCACAGTGACAGATCACCAAAATAAAATCCACAACTCCAAGCACAGGGCACAGAGCACAAATATCCTCCTGCATCCTCCTTCCCACAGTTTGGCAGTGCAGCTTCATGGCCTCCCCTTATGCGGCCTCATCATACCTGCTAGAATCAGGCTTGCCCAACTGCCATGCAGTCATGCAGCAGCAGAGATGCCCAAGTATGTGTTCATGAAAGCCTCCCTATGGTTCCTGTGCCATATAGACACCTCACCTCCTGGGAACTCCAGAGACAGCCCTGCAAATTCCTTACCATCTACAATTGTGTGGTTTTGGAGAGGAAGAAAAAAACAAACTGAAAATGCTGGTAGTATCCTAAGTACAAACAAGGAGTTTATTGTATCACTTGGACACTACACTAATGTGGTCTTTAAGTTAGGTCTTCCTTGGAGATAATCTAGTCACCTTTTAGTAACTTAAAGGGAGCAGAATCTTACAGTACTGCCATCAAGAAAGGAGAGTGCAGGAAAAGTGAATTGGTCCAATAATAATAATAATAATAATCTTTTTTTGTTTGTATTTTGTGTTGTCAGACAATTCAGTTTCTTTCATATACTGACCTCATATAGCATGCACATACATGTGCCTGCACCATCCTAGTGTGTACATGAAGGGTAAACCAGACCTGAGATACTTGACTCCGCAGCAGAATCGATTCAGGTATTGTGTATATGTACTAAGCAGGCAAAAATCACGCTTTACAAGATGGAGGATTTCAGTAGAAAGTCTTCCTTGCATTTTTTCCTCTACTGCTTTTCTTGCAGCCTTTCCTCTTTCACAAATCATATCTTACCCTGCCTATGTCCCCTTCCTGTTCATAGTCAATGATGAAAGTAAAAGCTTAGGCAGTGGTGAAACAGGAGCAGCTTCATAATGTCTTTCTCAGACAACTTTGCAATCTGCACTGGGCAGACTGGCTGCGAGACCCAGGGAGAGACCAGCCAACACTCAAAGAAGGGTCAGAATCTCTTGTCCTTGTTGCTGGTTAGCAGGTTAGGCACTCCTCACCATTAACCCCCTCCTTTAGTGTGGTTCTGATCCAGCAGAACCGGCACAGACAGGAAACCTTACAATAATATTTACAAGAGACACATAAGATAGGCGACCCTCATTAAAAAAGGATAAGTCTAAAACAGGAAAAAGAAATCCCCACCTGCACCCAGACCATTTGCGGTTAGCATTAGCCAGATGTCTAAAATGTGCAGCCTGCAAAAATATCCTAATGCCCTTCAAACCCAACACAGAGTATTACTGATTGCTTTAACTGGGGGGGAGAAGAAAGAGCAAAAGGATAATTCAATGGATAGGAGCAATGGACTAAATGCCAATAAAAGGAATCTGAGAAAAAGCTTAATAGATTTGCTGGAGAAGCAACCGCAGCACAGACCTTGAAGGTTTGTGGCCAGAACGATCAGCTATCTGCTTGTCTAACTCTGATCCTTTGCATGGGATTAACAAAGGTGACGGGCAGCATCTCTGGGGACCTGTCGCAATGAAAGATGGACGGTTCAAGACAGAGTCTTTGTTTATGCTGTGACTAAATCTCAAATTCTGTGTCTGTCTGTGCATTTACCGTGTCCCCACTGGGCATTGTCAGATCCCATCAGCCTTGTTCCCTTCCTTGCAGAAAGTTCTGTCCAAACGTGCACAAGTCTCTTCTCTCCCCCGAGGCTTCTCTGGGACACCTGAAAAACATAATAATGTTTTTTTTCAGGCAAACACATGGTAAGCAAATCTGTGTCAGACCTAGACAAAAGCTATCCCAGTTAAACAGTCCCTGTGCATAATGCTTGTCTAATGTTCTGTACCTGGGACCAAAAAAGCGCACTTTGTTGGACTTCAGAGAAGGCTGTCGCAAAGTGCTGGACTCTTTAGTAGAAGGCAAACCCTGAAAGACTATTTGTTGTGCTTTTTTAAATGCTTGTTCTTTGCCAGTGGTTGGACAACAGTGCGTAGTTATTGAGTATGGAGCCAGAGAGTTTCATGCTTTTCGTGCATACGGAGTTGTGCATCAGCATGATGATGAGTGGTGCACATTAAAAGACATACACAGTGTTGTTCTGGCAACAGTGGCAAAAGGAAGCTGCTGTGAGGATTTTTCCAACCCTGCTTTGGGTCTGTTTGTGTGCTCCGCTACCTTCTTACAGCCATGGCTGTAACTGTATTAACAGGCCTGTTAGGGCGCAACAGGAGAAGCCTGTCACATTCGCAGTATGTTTTCTGACCAGTAGCAGGAAATTTTGCTTATTGTCTGCATGTGAAGGATGAATCTGTAACAGAGCCAGAAAGCTGTAAAAAAAAATACCTTTTTATTTCCTTACATTTGCTGGCTTTCAAAACAGGCAAAGGCGGCATTAAATATAACAAAAATGAAAACTGCTTTTCAGAACCTGGATGTATAGTATCGCAGACTAAATATGAAAAGTGATTTCATGTATCACTTCTTCTCTCCATAACCCTGTAAAACACCACTGAAATATACAGTACTTCTGAGATTCTTATGTTCAATAAAAGGGTCAATAGGAAACTGTTACGGTAACAAAGTGTTTTCCCTTAATTGTGTATCTGCTTACCATGCAAAGCTTTTGCTAGGACTTCTGTTTCTATAAAATGTTTCATAGCAGATTATAAACTACCAATATACTTAATTTGTAGATGAACGACACCATGTTTCTTTTCTGTTCTTTGTTTTGCCTTGCTTTTCCAGATTATTTTATAGTTTTAACAACTTTGAAAAACTTAGCTGAATTTAATGAATTGATGCTGGTATGAACCTTGCTAGCTCTGGGCTGGTGTATCTTACAGTCCATCTCACATGTATGGCTATAACCCAACTCAGTGTCTTACTATTATCTAAGTAACAAGCCTTATAATAAGCTTATCCAAACAAGTAATGAAAACACAAAACGTGCAATAAGACTACTGAAGAAAGGCTAACTCAGTGGCACAGACTCTTAAAAGACTGAGTTTAGAAAGGCACCTCTGCCCCTACTGCCAGTCATATGGCTATAAACAGTATTTTAAATCACAGCCTAGAGATTCAGGTTTCTTTTTAATGGAACTGATCACTTCCTTTTGACTGCATTTACATTCTGATGTGATAAGTAGGGCTATGCAAAACAGGTGATTTTTATATTCATAATTTATTAGTAATTGATTGTCCCAATTACATAGGAAAAAGCTTTGGGGTGACCAAATTTTTAACTCTTTTCAGACAGTCTTGAGTACATTTTGATACTAAAGATATTTTTAAAACGCCCACAATTATTCACAGATTTTAGGGTGAATTTGTTCTCAAGATTCTTCTAAGAAATGTTGGGGTTTTTTTCCCAGTCAAGGAAAACTGGCAAATGGTGTCCCTCAGCAAGCACATGGCTCATGAAAAGTGTCTTTCTATTTCTTCCTGTTTAGGAAATTCCTGTAAATGTTAATCCAGTATGGCCATTGCAATGAAGGGTTTTATTTGCACACACAGATATTCAATGTGTGCATTAGCATCATTAGCTGTCATTAGTTGGCTGAGTGAACGGTCTTAGTCTGTAGGCTATGTATTTCACAGTGAATGAAAAGGAAATGCAGAAGAGAAAACTTTCTGTAGCAAAAGATGACACATAAGCACATTCCTAGAGCTCTATCTCAAATTCACAGTTAGTACAAGATAAAATGAATAGGATCAAAGGCAAGTCATAAATCAAGATTATGAAAGTATTCATACCCAAATGGAATCTTCTGTCAGCAAAGCCAGTGTTGATCACAGCGTTAAAATAGATGATGATAAATCAGAAACAAACAAAAATTACCAGTAGGAGGAAGCACCTAAGAAAGCAGCAAACACAGTCTCTAAGTTGATACTGAAACAACTTTCCCTGCATTCAATACAGGGGGAAAAGTGTGACTTAAACAGCGGAATTCTCCCAAAGCTCCTAATACAGGCTGATGATTTTAAACATTTATATTTGCCTAGATTGTGAGTAATGCTCTGACAAGTTTCGGGGTATTGTTCATTAGGCAAATAGTAACTCCTCTCTGTAACAGATCTGTTATGTACTCTAACACATTTGTATGAAAAAGGATCAGAACAGAAGGAATGTGTATGTGACATTCTCTTGGAATGGGGGAAAAAATCTGTTGCAAATGTTGAGTATATTACTGTTTAAAACCATTAGACGTTCAAATAATATATATATAATATATATTCTGTATTTCATTTTACTCAAAAGTGTAATGAATCACACACAGCTCCAGTCAGTCCTCTTTGGGCTTCTGAATAAAGCAGAGAGTTGCTGGGAACATGGACGATGTCTTCCTGGGATATTCTGCAAGTCTGTCTTAAAATGAGACATATGGTTGAATCAGACTGATTCACTCCCAGTAAAATCTAAGGAGAGACGTTCACTGATTCATTCATGTAACAGGTACCACCTTTATATAAACTAAAAGGAAGATCATAGATATTTAACCTAGATAATTATTCTGCAGATGTTCATTGAACTGTTACAAGAAAAGTAAGTTCCCTACCTTTTAGAGAGAGATAAAAAAGATTTGATTAATGAAGTATGAACATCTACTGGGAAAAATATTCCTGGTCACTATATTAAATATATGGGTTTTTTCCCCCATATTTCTGATTTATTTAAATATTTTCAATTCCAATAAACTGAAAAATGACCAAGCAGAAGGGATAAGTTACAGGAAGGATTTCCACTCTAACTTCAACAGCGGACTCTGTCCCCTTGGCATCTTAAGAGCACGTTTTGATTCTTTTTATGAAGAGTAAGGATTTTCAATATTTAATTATTATAGACTACAGTAAAATTCCAGGTTTCGTCCTTGGACATATTTTCTTTAGAGATGTAGGACAACCTTTTGGCTGCTATCAAAAGGAAGCAAGAAACTAATGAAACAAAGATCGCTCAGTAGAAACACAGTGCCTGATATTACCAAGTTGAATATCTAAACCATCTCAAAACCTATGATGACAGACTGATAGAGTGCCTAAGAGACCTTTGTTCAGATTCACATGAGCTGACTGGTTTAGAACAGCTGTTTGAACAGTGGGAGGTTCTGTGCGAGATGAGAATAAAAATGACTGGTCAGATAAACAAATGTTACAGCTGAGCTGTTGTCCCAGAGAAAGAGAGTACTGTAGCCATTAATGTGGATGTATCTAGACAATAGATTATTATACCTAGAAATACAAATCTGGCACCAAGCTTCCTTTAATAAGCAAATACACCCCTACCCCCCCCCCCCCCCCCCCCCGAATACAATATTAAATGACTTCCAGTATTAGTTTATCAGTGCTATGTAAATAAATGACTTGGAATGCATTTCTGATGGGACATTTTGATATTTGCATATCCTTAAGCTTCGATATAAATCGGAGAAGTCTGTAAAAGCAGAAAGAAAAGTGTAAATATTATGTGCTTTGTCTAATAACCAAGTCCATTTTAATAATAATTGAGCCTGTGCCTGAAGATCAGAACAGAATTTCACGGGTGCTGGGGTATGCTTCATTTGTTTCATGTTATGAAGTGCAGGCATCCTGAGGGAAAAGAAAGATCTGGACTAAATTTACAACACAAGGAATGTAAAATGCCTTTTTGATGTGTTGAGATGGGCAAGTTCTTTAAGAACAGGAAGAAAAATAAACATAAATGTTAAAGGTTAAGAATAAGCAATCTCAAGCAGTCATTGACTTTCAAATGCAGGCCACCATTATCTTGATATTGCCGCCTCTCTCTGTTAGCTTGGGTGTGAGTCCTTTGCAGTTTTATTCATTGCTTCTCCCCATGCTCTTTGATTTTTATTCTGGTGTTTGATAGATGCTCCAGTTAAAAAAGGACTCTATATAAAATATGTCCTAAGACTGGAACACATTTATGGATGCGTGTGAAGGACCAGTTTGAGAGGAGAGACATTTTTCCAGTATGTCTTTTCCAAAGAAAAAAGGGAAAATGCTTAAGCAATAAACACAGATAAATTATATAGCCTTTCTGAGGTGATTTTGAACAAGGAGAAATCAAACCTTTTTACTGAGATGGAGCAAAAGTAATGTATCACCAGAGAGCAACTGGTGACAAGTCATTGATTTTAATAGCATAACAATGGTCAATTGAGAACGTGGCTGAAACTCTCCTGAAGTTCTGAAAATGAGCTGAGAAGGTGGATCTTGACAAAACTTGTCCATCCGTGTTAACACAAGGATCTTTTATTATTGAGCAAGACATTCATTCTCTTATCATCAGTCTCTTTATAATCAAGAGCAAGAACAATACTTCACAAACACATCTGTTTCAGTTAAAGTTGCTGTTAGTATTGTGAAAGGGTCACATTTCTTCCAGACATGCCTGTTTACTGTTTTCTTTGTATCGTTTTCAAAGTTCTTCTGGAGTTATCCTTGCTTAATTTATTTCCTAGCATTGATCAGTTTCTTGTTTAAGATAGTTGTTCAGATATATCTTCGACAATCAATAGGAATCAGTCAAATGAGCTTTTATGTAGTACTTCTGACCGCTTTGTATTTTGTGCTTTTCTCAAGCTATGCAGGCTTAGATGTATCAGTTCAATTAAGTTTTCTGAAGGGCTCAGCATCTGCAGGGAAGGACAGATTTTCAGGAGAGGGTCATTCCCATTCAGACTACAAAATAAGTGACCTGACACTAAAATTGAGCTCATACTTGTG